TCTATGTAAGTGAAAAGTAACTGGCAGCAATTTGAAAAGAATCCTTGACAATTATAGCGTACAGATAAGGAAAAAGATGGGCAAAGGTAAACTTTTAACACCACTAAGTACTAACGGACAAATGACCATGAACGCACCAACCACATGATAAAGGCGATTTGTGCATATGAAGTACATATTTTTATATATATTCATGAAAATAATCAATTAAACGGCATGAAACTGTTACACAGGATACCTTTCTCTGACATGGGACAAAAATACCTCTCTTTTTGGACTGGAATATCAACAGAATAGTTTAACCGTATTCTACGCATGTAATTATCTAGGTCTTCTTACCCTAACGTGAAAATATTCCTAAACTGAGGCTGTTCTAGCTCGCACCAACCCTAATGTCACCCTCGTTAGGTTAAACTAACCTGTCCTTGCTTAGCCTAAAACTTAACTTGATCTTTCTCAAACCTAACCTGAAACTTGCCAGATATCCCATTTGATAAAGTAAAACTTCACTAAGCATACTTTATTAATGATTACAATATTATTTACCAGGTTTCTGTAACTTGCCTTCTGAGAGTCCCAAGGTCATCGGTGCGATCGCACTCCACTGGTACTTACTGATGCATGGCGCAAAGAAGATATATCTGAGGACACCTCTAATAAGAATTCTGGCCCTATTCAGGTAGGTAATTACCTGGGGATTTGGTGAGAAGTCGTGACCAGTAGGGTACAGAAATTTGGGGGTGAGGACAAATACTCGCCACTGATGACATTGGCTAGTGGTCACGCTGTAGAAGTTGGAATTAATGGGTTGACCACTGGATCGGGTCCCAGTGGCTTCATGGTCTGCAGGCTTGCCTTGTAACAGGAGGGTCATGGGCTCAAAACCCGGTGGTAGGCTCATTCTGATAGAGAGTCGCAATCTGGGATGAAATAGCTGGCTCACTAATACTCCATGGTGGTTTCCCAATGGTTCTCTAACTGATGTTAACTCATGATTAAATCCTGTAACCAATCAATCGAATCCCTGCAAACAAATACTTGAAAAATGTTCCATATTCATAACTAAACAGTCCTACTTTAAACAAACATAATGTCATTTTATTTCCGGGTGGAAAATAAGCCCTCAACAGCATATATCCATTTCATCTTTTCCTCTGAACTACTGTTTAGCTAGCTCCACGATTCACCATAGGCTCTCATCTCTTCCTCACACGATCTCCTCCGAGCTTGTCGTTTTCCATTCGGCTTGAACTCCTGTAATGGCCTGGCTCATGGTATCCTTCATATATATATATATATGCAGGTCTATATGACTTTAAGCAATCATGTTAATAACTGTCGTTTCAGTGGATGTAGAGTAATTTCCAAACCAAAGAGTGTGGGACAGCCAACTGTTTTGTTCTAGTTTGATAGTCTTCAGCGCTGAGCATAAAACTCAGAACTACCAAGCTTCTAGATAGGCCTGTAGGCCACACAGTCACTGGGATGGAATTCACTGACACAGAAACTAATGAAATGAACAAAATAAATATCACCGTAAGCTGTTTAAATCTTTGTTTTCTCATTGTACACTGCTGTTTCCCTACAGATCTGATAAACTAGAGTTACCCTGAAAAGGATTTTACTGTATCAAGGTGTTTGTTATAGTTATGGTGTAAATGTTGATGATAACACCCGGTTGTCCAGGATGAAATAAGTAGGGCCGGATTCTAATCCAGTGTCTGAAGGTTGAAATACGATCGTTTTCCCCCACCCACCCAATTATGTCACTCAGCATCAACAACAAAATTCGGATTTTCAATACAAACGTCAAGTCAGTTCTTCTATACGGATCAGAAACGTGGCGGGTCACAAAGAATATTTCCAACAGGTTGCAGACCTTTATCAATAGATGTCTTCGCTCTATACTGAAGATCAGATGGCCGGACAGAATCACCAACAAGAAACAAACTATGGGAACAAACAAAACAAGAACCAATCGCCCAACAAATATGCAGGAGAAAGTGCAGATGGATTGGACACTCACTGGCTGAGGAGGCCACTCGCTGGGTGACATCGCGCGTCAGGCCAACGCTCGAGTGGAACCCGAAATGGAAGCAGGGAGTGGGACGTCAGTGCAAGGGTGACATGGAGGAGATCGTGTGAAGAGGAGTTGAAACAGTATGGACTAACATGGATGCAGGTAAAAAGTACAGCACAAGACAGAAGCAAGTGGAGGCGTGCAGTTGAAGCCGTATGTTCCACTAGGAACCCAAGGGAACAATAATAACAATAATGCAGTGGAGTTGAACTATATTGCTTTCCTATTCTGATTAGTATCATTTTGTGAAATAGTGATCCCTGAAACCGATCAGTATAATCAAAAAAGAGAGAGATCACATCAGTACCCTAACTAAGACTATTGAATTTATTGTATTCAAGAATAATGTTAATAAATCACCCAACTCAGAGAATACGACATCAAAAAATTTCCTCATTTCTTTCTTTCCTTTGAGTTGATGACTTCACGCTTAATCTGCCGCCTTAACCAAACTTCCTTTCAGCTAAACAAGATTTAGGAATGCATTGGCAGTGAATCGAAATCCTGAGCCACATGTGAAGTTCGTGAGCATCCTAAGACTAAACCACTCACTGATGCATTAAATCTATTCATAGGATGAAATCTTTTAACCACTCAAGTCAAATCCTTGCAAACCACTACTTGAATATCAATCTCATGTTGACTAGAAACTGGCCCTATTCAGGTAGGTAGGTAGCTATCTGTGTTCTAATGAGAAGTCGTGACTAGTAGTGGGGTACAGCAGGTTAGGTGTGAGAACACATACTCACCGCCGATAGAATTAGTTAGTGGTCCCATTATATCTTGAACCTGGCGAAGGTGGAATTCACGGGCTTGCCCATTGTATCGGGTCCCATGTGACTAATTAATCTATGAGCTCGCTTCACAACCGGAAGGTCGTGGGTTCGAACCCTGGTGGTAGGTTTGTACTGATGACAGTCAGTTCTAAACTAGGCTAACGAAACAGCTGTCCAGTACTCTGTGGTGGTGTCCCAAAGGTTGTCTGATCGATGTTAACTCATGATGAAATCCTGTAAGCAAATGTCCACTCAAAAATAACAGTGTTCTTCATTAAGATTCTAATGACCTGTCTAAAGGAACAGCGTTCCATACAAAAGGTGTAACAGACGCTTGGGAATGATTATTTCTATGGTTGGTATTCATTTATTGTATTAAAGTGATCGGGCTGCCTAATATCGCTAATGATTTTCCTGATTGCAGTAGATTGGATAATGCGACAAACAGCAGGCAATGAGGAAACAGGCATAAAACAGACTCACACAAAATACGTGGAGGATCTGGACTTCGCCGATAATATACGTCTGATTTCCCAAAAACTGGAAGATATGAAAGTGAAAAGCAACAAGTTGATGTAGGAAGAAGCATCAAAGATAGGACTTCAGGTGAACATAGAGAAAACAGAGGTGATGAAAATTCCTGGCCAACATGATCAGTAACAGAAACAACAACAGACAACAATAAGCATAAATGGAAGGAACCTGAAGAAACAACCTCTTTTGCCTACCTAGAAAGCATCGTTTCAGTTACAGGCGGAAATGACTTGTTTATAAAAGCAAGACAAGCTTTCACTACTCCCAAGTCAGTGTGCAGGTCAACAGCACTCAGAATCAAAAATAAGATCCGGATTTTCAACTCCACTGTGAAGTCAGTCAGTGGTGCTATACGGATCAGAGACTTGCACTGCGCGTCATAAAGAGCATCTCAAACAAACTACAGACCTTCGTTAACAGTTGTCTTCGCTCAATACCACTCAAGATCAGATGGCCGGCCAGAAAAGATCAGCAATAGAGATCTCTGGGGACAAACCAACCAGGAACCGATTGTGAAACGAATATGCAGGAAGAAATGGAGATGGATTGGCTGGCCATACTCTGAGGAAACCATCAAGTGACATCACTAGACTAGTCCTCAAGTGGAACTCAAAAGGGAAGCGGTGAGTTGGTCGTCAGTGCAAGGGTGACTTGGAGAAGGTCATGTGAAGAGGAGATGAAAACGTGTGGGCAGACTTGGAGCCAGGTGAAAATTTCGGCGGAGAACCAAACGCAATGGAGACGCAAGGCTGAAGCCCTATGTCGCTCTAGGAAACAACAATAATAATAACCTCTATTAGTTACCTGACCTCTGCAGCATCGTTACAACTACTAATGGCACGGATGATGATGTCAGAGGGAAGAAGGAATGCGAGATAAGCATTCATTACTCTGAAATCTATTTTTTGAAATCTGCTGCACTCGGCATAAATAACAAGATTCTGGTTTTCAGCACTGACGCCAAGTCAATCAGTCCTTCCATATATGGTTAACACACGCGTCAACACAATCGTTGCCAAAGGGCTACACTAGACTTTCATCAGGAGCTGCCTTCGCTTCTTACTGAAGAAATCTAGCCAACAACGAACCAATCAAGACCTTATCGTCCAACGAATTTGGAGAAGGTAATGGTGACGGATTAGATATACGTGCTGGAGAGACCTTAAAGTAACATCATAAGTCAAACGAGAAGCAGCGATTTGGGTATGGGTCCCGGGGTAACACTGAGAATATCCCATGAAGAGGAAAAAACGCTTGTGCGTGGTTATGGAGCCAACCAGTTGAAACGAATGACAGAAAATCGAGTTCAGTGGAAGTGTAGTGTTGAAACTTCTTTATTTCACCATCGTGTAGAGACGCCAATAATAGCTGTTAAGCAGTCAATGAATCATTACCCAAGAGACATCAGGTCGTGTTTGCGTTTTCCACGAAAGTCGTAATTATTTCAACATAATCCCCAAGGGGGCATCCTTCTGTCTGTTCGAGAGAGGAGAGATATTACCCAAATGCCAGGCATCTACATGCAATTAAGCCCCATCCTCCATCGCCTTATTCAAAGAATATCATAAAATCAACATAAAATAGAAAAGACAAAAGCAAGTGGAACCTACTTAACACTCTTTGAATTTCATATTTTGTATTTAAAATTAAATCTTCATATCGAACAGTGATACAACGTGATGAACCAATACGTCGACATTCATCCAATATAATCGTTGTTAAATTCTCCCAATAACCAAATGCTTTCTCTGGCTTGCTGGATACATAGAGTGGATTCACTTGACGTCTAATATTAGAATAAAAACAGAAGTATAAAAGCGGCAGGTGGATTTTAAAACAGATGAATTTTAATTTAGATTACATCATGTACTGATATATGAACTAGAGAATCATTGGAAACCAAAGGGACGTGTGTGTGCTGGACAGCTAGTTGTTTTATCCCCGATATGAGATTCCCCAGCAGTGAGCATTCATGACCCTACCATTGTGAATCAAACCCAAGACCTTGAAGTTACGAGTTCAACCCGTTGACCACTCAGATATGGGGAGACAGAATCCCATAACCCACTAATTCTAAATTCTGTCATTTCAGCTTTCAGTGTCTCTTTAAGTATTGAGCGAACAGCCACCTACAGCCCAAAACTTGTCAGCTAATCCACTGTTCATTGGTGGCTGAATACGACGACTTGAAGTTCTGTTAGGTATTCGTGATTGGCCGGGTTGATTATGCGCAGTGTGAGAACAGATACTTGACGAGGATAGTGGCGCCATGTCGCGGATTAACAGAAAATAGGATTCCCCAGTCACTGGATTCCATTTCAGTTGATGAATAGTCACTCATTAGATCCCAAATGCAGTACTGAGTGTGCAGTGTACAACAGACGTGATATCCGGCTGTCTACCAGAGGGCATGTGTACTACTCAGCACACTGTTCCGTCCTTCTTTATGACTGTGAGTTAGACATGGCCATTGAAAGTGGAAGACATGAAAAGACTAGCTAGTTGTCTTTGATCAAACGTGTCTGCGTCCTATCTCCCGTGTGAAGTGGTACAATAGGGTGAGGAATATTGAGGTTAGGTATCCGTCGAATGCTAGATAAGGAGAGAGGGAAAATCAATAGACGAGGCTGTGCAGTTACATTGACTGAGATGCTTAGGACATGTGTTACGCATGCCTAGCCTAGCCATCGCCTTCCTCGACAACGGGCAATGTTAGATGACACACGGTCATGTTGGAAAAGAGCCAGTGGTGCTCATACCAAAACAGGGCTTCATCAGTCAATGAAATCCACAACAGCTAGTTTAAGCAAGCCACGTAGGAAGGTGCAGACTTCCTGGTTGGGTTCCTCGGGACGGTGAAGACCAACGGCGGAGGGAGACAAGTGGTGATATGGCTCAAAATCATCCTCAATGGCTAGCGCAGATGCATCCACTCCTTCTGACTTACAATACGCAATAACAAATATTTTTCTTCCATATTACTTACTATTCTTTTTGCCTTGCATTTCTATTTATTATCTCTGTTTTGAATCTCTTTTTACTTTCTTCTCTTGCTTTGTGTGCTAAGTGAGGTGTGGCAACTCGAACTGCAAATTTCCACGTTGAAACCAGTGGGTCAGTGAGTCAGTCAGTTTTCAGCAGTTCCAAATTAAGACGAAATATCAGTCAAGCGCTCCTTAGTTACCAATGACTTTCTCTAGTCGATAAATCCGTTAGTGATGAAATCCACAGTGAGATTAGACTAAACCTCCATACAAAACCCAAGATCTGAAAGGATTAAATTTAAACGACAATACTAATTTTTAATTTTTAAATATGCACAACTGAAAAATAAAAATATCTTCGCATTTGGTTTTTTTCTTTCCTAATATTCTGCATGTATGAATTAAGTTGGAGCAATGTATTTCAAAGAATCTCTTCTTTAAACGTTGCATGTGTCATGGATTTGTCTTTGTTTACACTCTTTTCTCTCTGTCTTCATTTAATCCTCTCCTTCTTTGTGTTGTTTTGTATATCTAGCTGTAAAACATTATAATTTCAGTATGTTTCTATGCAAAAGAATACTTGCGGGCGATTTGTCCTATTCAGATAGGTAGTTACCTGGGGTTCTAGTGAGAAGTCGTGACCAGTAGGGTGCAGCAAGTCGGGTGTGAGGACAAACAATTGCCGAAGACATTGGCTAGCGGTTGCGCTATGTCGTGAATTGGCAGAAGTTAGAATTCATGAGCCATTGGATCGGATCTCAGTGGCTTAATGGTATACGAGCTCGCCTTGTAACCAGAAGGTCCTGGGTTCGAATCCCGGTGGGTGCGTACTGATGAGTTCCAAACTAGGACGAAACAGCTGTCCAGTACTCCTAGGTTTTCCAATGGTTCTCTAACTGATGTCAGCTCATGATGAAAATCCTGAAAAGCAACAAACTGGTTGAAGAGACAGCTAAGGCAAGACTTCAGGTTAACATAGAGAAGACGGAGGTGATGAAGGTAATCAACCAACCAACCAAACATCAGCAACAACAACCAGCACCAATCACCATAAAAGAGAGAGATTTAACAGAAGCACGGTTTCGACTACAGACACACGGCACGGATGGAGATATCAAAGCCAGCCAGCCAGCCAGTCAGAGGTTATCTCCTTCACTTATCTAGGAAGTATCGTTTCAATTACGGACGGAATGGATGAAGATGTCAAATTCGGAATCGGGAAGGCAAGATACGCCTTCATCAACGAGCCTGAAACCAGTTCGGAAATCTTCTGCACTCAAAATAAGAAACAAGATTCGGATTTTCAACACCAATGTCAAGGCCATCTTTCTTTACGGGTGAGAAAATTGCACTGCATGTGTCAGGAAAAGGATTTTCAACAGATTGCAAACTTTCATCAAAATCTACCCCCTTCACTGCCTCCATACTGAAGATCAAATGGCTGACGAGGAAGAATAAGTAACAAGAAACTGTGGGAACAAAACAAGAGGTGAGAGCCAATCACTCAACAAATATATAGGAGAAAATGGAGATGGACTGATCGGACATACTTTGAGGAGACCGTTAAATGACATCGCGCGCCAAGCGGTTTATTGGAATCTCAGTGGGAAGCAACTAGTGGGTCGTCAGTGCGAGGGTGACGCGGAGGAGATTGTGCGAGTTGGAGGAGGAGATGAGAGATTGTGGTCAAACGTGGAGCTAGCCATCTAAAGTGAACGGCAGAAAATAGAACAGTGTGGAAATGTGTTGTTGAAGCCAGGCCAATTTTCCACTCGGAACCCAAGGGAACAATATCATGATGACAACTCTATTGGGTAAAATCTATGGTGCACACTCATTTTCATAGCTTCACACAGATTCAATACAAAAGAAACTTAGTTAAGTGCCTTAGTTATAGAATAAAAAGCAATATGTTCAGAGGAATGCATCAAGGAAGAAATTTGTAGGCTGAAACTTACACTACAAGAGAATGGATATTCAAAGAACTTCCTAAAAACGTATATGTCAATACCTAGAGAGAGATAGGGTAACGATGGATACTGTACATAAGAAACCTTGGTATCTTAAGTTAAGTTACAAAGGGGAAATTGAAGCTGACATTCTAAAATGTCGACTTAATAGAGCAGTAGAGAGGACATTTCCTGCTGCTAAACTGGTACTCAGCTTCTCAACTAAATCAGTACTCACACAGGGAGTCAAGGATAAATTACCAAAGATGACCTCATCAATGTGTATCCATGAATTCAGCTGCTCATGCGGAGCTAATTACATTAGCCGTACTCAGAGGGCTTTATCCATGTACGCACGTGAACATGCACCGGTATGGTTGGGTAAAGGGGTAACTAAATGTGTAAATAGTCCAGTCTTAGTCCACTTGGTAGATACTGGACACTCGATAAAACCTGAGCAGGTGTTATTTACCGCATTATTCCTCGTAATCTATCTAGAGGAGCTCGACTACTTCTTCTATCAGTATCTGAAGTGGTAGCAATCAATACCAGAAGACCGGCTCTTTGTATACAGAAGAAATATGTTCAACTGCTATATTTACCTTGGCCTACAATAAAGCCAACAAATCACTCATAAACATTAGCACTTTAAATTCCTAGAGCAATTTTTCTTCTTCTTCTTTTCCCTTATTTTTATTGGCAAACGTTCATTTTGTGACCTTCTACAACTTTATGACCTTTCTTATAATTTCTATTATCTTAGGTTTAAGTAATGCTTTTCTCACTTGTTATCATATTTACAAAATTCTGTTCATTTAACTTCATTAAATTTATCATTATTTGATAATCGTTTAAGTCTACATCACTATTGTTCAATCCAGAGACTTGGCGCGTCATAAAGAGCATCTCAAACAAACTACAGACCTTCGTTAACAGTTGTCTTCGCTCAATACTCAAGATCACATGGCCAGAAAAGATCAGCAATAGAGATCTCTGGGGGCAAACCAACCAGGAACCGACTTTGAAACGAATATGCAGGAAGAAATGGAGATGGATTGGCTGGCCATACTCTGAGAAAACAATGCATCAAGTGAGTGACATCACTAGACAAGCCATTGCTGGAGTGGTAGCTGAAAAGGAAGCGGTGAGCTGGTCGTCAGTGCGAGGGTGGGTGACTTGGAGGAGGTCATGTGAAGAGGAGATGAAAGCGTGTGGGCAGACTTGGAGCCAGGTGAAGATTCTAGCAGAGAACAGAACGCAATGGAGACGCACGGCTGAAGCCCTATGTTCCTCTAGGAATTAAAGGAAACAATAATAATAATAATAATTGTTCCATCCCATCTTACTTCTACTTGTTCCATAATACACATTTCTGATATGACTATAGTTTCCCTTTACTGGGGCTGGCTATTGTGTGCTTAAATGAATGGATTTATAATTGTAGAGTTTGAAGAAGGAAGAACTTATTGAAAACAAGAGTAAATCATTCTTTAGGGATCAACAGAAATTTAAATCAAAACAAAATAATCAATATCTGATTGATTATATCAATCATGATTTTACATTTCTGGTTATGAAAGACGAGAATGATGTAATGAACATCATTGAAAAGTTTAATGATGCACATTCAGCAATAAACTTTACCATAGAGAAAGAAAATAATGACAGTATCTCATTCCTAGACGTCTTCATGGCAAGGGAAGAAAATGGTACGCTAAGAAGGAGTGTGTATAGGAAACCTACAACAACAGGTCAGTACACTCATTTTTTGAGTTTTGTACCTTTGAATTATAAACGTAACCTGGTAAAGTGTCTGGTTCATAGAGCTAGGTTAATCTGTTCAGACGACTACCTCTATGAGGAGCTTAAGATTATTAGAGAATTACTTAGAAAAAGTGGTTATCCAGATAAATTCATTGGGAAAAATATGAATTCAGCACCTAGGAGGGTCAGTATGGCAACGGTTCCCAAGAAACCAATGCTCATAAAACTGCAGTCCCTCGGTGACAACATCAGCGAAATAATAACACAGCGCCTGTAGGATGCAGTTAAAAGAGCTTATTATGCAGCAGAGGTACGTTGTCTTTTCACAACCACCCCTATTTTACGTTCGAGAAATAAGGTTACACGACCTAAATTTGCCTCCTCTATGTGTATCTACCAGTTTGACTGCAGCTGTGTAGCCAGCTACATTGGGCGTACAATTAGGCAGGTTCATCATCGCATTTCCGAACATCATCCAACATGGTTAAGCAAGGGACAAACAAGATCTATTCGTAGCTAGCTCTATTGTAGCACATCTTGTAGATAGTGAGCATAAGGTTGATGTTAATACTGCAGTTAAAATTATTTATCGCATTCCTACTGGTCTTAATTTCGCTCTACGAATTCGTCTTCTACATACAGCTGAAGCAATAGGAATCCACCTAAAGAAGCCAAACCTGTGTGTGTGTATTGAGAAGAAATTTCTACAGCCACTTTCCTTACCTTCCTTGGCCATCGTTATATCAGTGTATAAACCGAACTACTTCGCCCTCTTCCCTCTAAACCTTTAAAAAACTATAAAAATTATAATTGTTCAAATTATTTCATTATTTTTTTCTGACCACTTCATCCTTAATTACGTGTTATCCTTGTAAAATTAATTTATTCTAACCATTTCTACCTTTTAATTATCAACCCACTGACATTTTGACACTGACTAATTATTGTTAAAAAACATATCAGTGCCACTTGATTGGTTAACTGTTGTGTATTGTAATAAAAACGCTATACGTGTATATTAGAGTACAGCCAGAGATGAGAATCTAATTGAAAAGTAAATATTTCTTCGCTGAGCTCAATCTTTCTGTTTTCTAAATGTCTAAATGGGGATTTTTTCTATATTGAATAGTCAGTCAGTCTGTCCTAACAAAGACTTACTCGAAAGGCAGAATTAAGCTTAGTCGGAATGCAGTAGACAGACAACTACTTTCAGTGTTTTGTTAACATCAAATTTAAGTTAAGTTTCTAAAATGTGAGTTAGTAGAGAAGAAGCATCAAAGATAAGACTTCAGGTGAATATAGAGAAAAAAGAGGTGATGAAGATTCCTGGCCAACACGATCAACAACAGAAACAACGAAAGACAACAACCAGAATAAATGGGAGAAATCTGAGAGAAGCAACCTCCTTTACACCTACCTGGGAAGCATCGTCTCAACTACTGGCCGGCGGAACTGACGAGGATATCAAAGCAAGAATCGGAAAAGCAAGACAAGTTTTCACTACTCTCAAGTCTGTGTGGAGGTCAGCAACACTCAGCATCAAAAATAAGATCCGGATTTTCAATTCCATTGTGAAGTCTGTACTACTATACGGATGGATCAGAGACTTGGCGCGTCATAAAGAGCATTTCCAACAAACTACAGACCTTCATTAACAGTTGTCTTCGCTCAATACTCCGCTCAAGATGAGATGGCCGGCCAGGAAAGATCAGCAATAGAGATCTCTGGCAATGTGTGAACCAACTAAGCAGGAACCGATTGTGCAACAAATAGGCAGGAAGAAATGGAGATGGATTGGCTGGCCATACTCTGAGAAAACAAACCATCAAGTGACATCACTAGACAAGCCACTGCTCGAGTGGAACCCGAAAAGGAAGCGGCGAGTTGGTCGTTCAAGGGTGACTTGGAGGAGGTCATGTGAAGAGGAGATGAAAACGTGTGGGCAGACTTGGAGCCAGGTGGAGACTCTAGCAGAGAACCGAACGTAATGGAGACGCACGGCTGAAGCCCTATGTTCCTCTAGGAATTAAAGGAAACAATAATAATAAATAATAATAATAGTAGAGAGTTATACAGAGAACTTATTTGTTCTATGCTTAGCTACACACTATACTGAATAATTTTTAGAAATCCAGTGTTAAACATGCTCATTTGTAGGCTCAATGTAGCTGATTCCACAAGAACAATCAAACTGGTCGATATTATTGGAAAAAAACATTTTCATTGTCAATAACACTTATCCTTTAAAAATATAATTATTAGAACAAGACATATAATGAGCGAACAATGATGTTGTTTTCAATTAGATCTTCTTTAGGCTTTACTCTAATTTAACATAAATTTATCGATAAAATTTTTAATCAATGACGGTGAGTTTGTAGATCAAATAATAGTAATAATAATAATGATAATAATAATAATGTGGTAAATGTTTTGAACGCAGTTAATAACGATGATTATAATGATAACAAAATATTGATAATAAAGTTTATGCAGGTGGCGATAAGAATAACAAAGGTAGTAATATGTGTATATGTAGGAAATTTAATAAATAAATTAGCTGAATCCTTAAAAGTTACGTAATACTAAAGGTGAAGTTGACAGATAATCAGAGTTTAAATAAACATCATAAAAGTACGAAGGAGATGGAAAATAAGAAACGATGGGAGGGTTTTGATTAGAATTTACCTGGGCAAGCAAGGGAGAGACAAAGGTAGAACAAACTTCTTTTGTTGTATGCAAAGACTAGGATTCTTCTGTCGAATTAATTCCCAAAGCTTCGGCTATGTGCTATAAAAGGCGGGTTCGAATTCCGTTCGTAAGGCTCGATGGAATGCGATAGATAACTTTGACCGCTATCATCAGTCAAATGAGTCAAAACAGAAATTCTTATAGATTTTATATGGCCTTTTCCGAACCATGAAGGGAGATGCTCATTAATACGTTTCTTGAGCTGTCTAGTTGTTCGGCCTCTATGGCCAGCTTTCTCCGCAGAAGCAACTAAATTTGTAGATACACACGGAAGTGGCACAGCTAGGTAGCTTGTCTTTCGTTTGAGCAATCATAATTGGTCGGCAGCTGGAAAGTGACAAACAAAGGGTGGTTGTGGCAGTATAAGTCCGTTTTATCGCTCTCGATAATCTCAGATGTAAGATTTCACTAGCCACGTCCCCATTAAAGTGAAGTTTCTTGAACAGTTGTTTTTTATTAACTGTTGTCAGTTTCTCTTTATAATGTCTGGTGTTCATGTGTCTCCTTACAAATGTACTAGGATGACCCATTTGAACCAGCGTATTTTGGATGTATCCCGACTCATTTTCTAGGAAGTCATCTGTACAGATCCGCCTTGCTCTATTCGTGAGGCATTTGACCAAATTGATTTTATATCGGATTGGTACAAAACTGAGGAAATGTGTATATTGTCCTACAGATGTAGGTTTTAGATAGACATCTCTCTTGAGTGAACCACCCTCTCTTCTGTTCAACTGGACATGATGGAAGTGCAGTCTACCATCATGTTCTTCTTCACAAGTGAAGATGAGCGATGACTGTTCATAATTAAATTTTATTAACATTTCATTCTTGTCAGCTTTCACATCAAGAATAATAAACGTGTCATCAACATAGAGAAAATAAGAATCTATTTTATCTATTACTTGTTTCAATGGACCATTTTCAAGCTTTTAATATATTTGTGCGTTGAAGTTTCTGTAGCAACCATCATTCATCAACCTGAAACCAATCTGGAAATCTTCGTCACTCAGCATCAATAACAAAATTCGGATTTTCAATACAAACGTCAAGTCACTTCTTGTATACGGACCAGAAACTTGGCGGGTCACCAAGAATATTTCCAACAGCCTGTTGCAGACCTTTATCAACAACTGTCCTCGCTCTATACTGAAGATCAGATGGCTGGGATGAATCACCAACAAGAAGCTATGGGAACAAACAAAACAGGAACCAATCGCCCAACAAATATGCAGGGGAAAGTGTAGATGGATTGGACACTCACTGAGGAGGCCACTCGCTGGGTGACATCGCGCTTCAGGCCAACGCTCGAGTGGAACCCGAAATGGAAGCAGGGAGTGGGACGTCAGTGCAAGGGTGACATGGAGGAGATCGTGTGAAGAGGAGTTGAAACAGTATGGACTAACATGGATGCAGGTAAAAAGTACAGCACAAGACAGAAGCAAGTGGAGGCGTGCAGTTGAAGCCGTATGTTCCACTAGGAACCCAAGGGAACAATAATAATAATATAATTTTCAAGCTTATATTATTATGCATATGCTGTAACTGTAGAACCAGATGAGGAAGCTATGCAAGGGCAGTATTCTTCATCCAATCTTTTAGACTTCTTAATATCTAAATGGGGAAAATGACGGAAGAATAAATGTGAGGCTAACAGCGTCATCCCGTAAAGGTAACATCTCCGCTATTGAAACTCAATAGGAACGCGACGAAAAAGAAAGCGTGTAAGTGTGTGTGTGTGTTTGTGTATATATATGCGAACTTACCTTATGGTAGAGGCCACAGCAGCTCGTCCATCTCGTGTCATATGAATAAATTTCGATCTTGGAAATATTTCATATAAATATTTTAGATAATAAAATGAAAATGGTTGTTTATGACACAGACGATCAGCGGATTCTCCCATATTGATGACGATTTCACTGATAAACGCTGCAATAGCACGATTAAAAACATGCGTATAGATACCAGCCGCCTCCAACTGGAACATATTGTATTCAGATAACATTTTCAAGCGTAACAAAGAGGTTGTCACCACTGGTTCAGGACCACATCTTACAGAGGGATGAACATCGAGGAGAATTCGCATTAAACCGGTACCTTTTAGGGGGGGGGGAATTTAAAACGAAGAAAAAATGATTTGATAATTAAGATCAGGAATGGAGTTATTTGAAAGAATATAGAGAAGATTTGTTGTTCAGGTGAATTATTCTTAGATGGTTGTGTCAGTGGCACAGTGGTAGGATGCTCGCCAACCACGCCTCATGTGGTTCGGTGTTCGATCCCCGACCACCGACGCACTCCTTTACCTCCCTTAGCCAGTAATAAGAGTGGTAAAGAGGGAAGGTTGTGGGGCATGAGGCTAGCAATCCCATCCCGTAAAAATAAACACCACTGTTACTGAAACTTCAAGCCTCTAACTTGAAGCTCCCTATTTTCGCTTGGGAACGTAAGGGAATAAAATTGAAAAATAAATAATAAGGCGATTTAATGACGAAACTGAGGAGTCAGTGTGGGAACCTGCTGCACTCATCATCATAAAGAATAAGATCTGGACCCTCAGCAGTAATGTAAGGTTAGTTTTTCTGTTTAATGTTACCGAAAGCTTTTTCTAAAGGTTATTAGAGACTTTCGCCAACAACTGCCACCTGGTTCGATACTGAAGACCAGGCGGTCAACCGATCAGAAAGAATGAACACAAAGGAACTCTTGTATGCAGCGAACCAACTTAGAGGGAAGTAGTAATGGAGTGAACATTCCACAGATGAGACTGTTGAGCGGCGTAATGCGACAAAATACCGGATGGGAAACAGTGAGCTGGGTGTTGGTCCGAGGGTGATATGAAGAAGGTAGTATGAGAAGATGAAAGTATGTGGGCTATTGTACAGTCAGCCTAAAAAGGAATGCAGAGAACAGGATTAAATAGCTATGTCCAGCTTGAAATGCAAGGGAGCAATAATAATAGTAATTTTTACGAGATGATCACGGATTGATATCAGTTAGAGAACCATTGAAAACCAGGCAGGGAATACCGGACAGCTGTTTCATCCTAGTTTGGGAATCATAGACAGTACGCACCCACCACCAGCGTTCAAACCCAACACCTTTCGGTTACAAGGCAAGCTAGCTCGTATACCATTCAGCCAATGGGGCCCAACCCGAATCAGTGGCCAGCGCATGGATTCTAACTTCTACCAATTCGTGATTTAGCGCGACCCCAACCAGTGTTGTTGGTGAGACATACATCCTCACACATGACATCTGGATGGACCTCACTGGTCACGACTTCTTACTAGAACTCCAGGAAACTCCATCCTGTAGCAAGTCACTAGCGAGCATCAACTATAGAAAGTAATAATAATAATTAGTGGTATTATAATATAACAGACTATCCTTGGTAATTTAATAAGTTTTTAAAAATAATCCCAGCGTGTTTAAGAGAAGAAAAAAATCAATACAAGATGTGTTTTCTGAAAGTTTCACTGTGTAAGCCACCACAGCTTCTTCAGCAGAATTATTCGGATTTTATTAATCATCAATAGAAATATGTAAGCAGTCGTCATATATTTGTAATGACTAATGTCAAATTGTTAACTGTGTATATTTGTCTGTGGCTTACACGGCGAAACGGACAGAAAACACATCTTGTTTCGATTTTTTTCTCCTCTTAAACACGCTGGGATTATTTTGAATAATTTGAAATGTGACTCGGTGCTCAAATTATTCCAGCAAATTCGTAACAACTACGGTCTCAAAACTTAAAGCAATCAGATATAAGGATTACCTAGGTAGACAAAATAGAGCGGATTTGCAGGTCATTTGGATTACTTTGGTGTGGTTGCGTTCCCTGAGCTACATGATTCAACCGCCAAACTTTCATCCTCCTACCTTCTAGACAACATCTTCAGCGCAAAACTTCATTATGAATTGAACATTTTTTAATTTTCTGTGAAAGATATAATTCTATCTACCGACAAATTTTGTTACAACTAGCTGCTAATTCACATCAGTATTGATCGTTTTTATTGACTTGGAACTTGAACCTCTTTGTCATGTGACTTATTCTTTATTTGTTAACAAATTTGATCTTTGCTAAGTAAATGTGTCTGTTAATCACCGATTCGTGCAAGTATCATGCTTCTAGGAATTCTTTGGCATCGGTTTTGGTGTTTTCGCTGTTTAAAACTTCCACCTTTTCCCAGTCTAGTCGGTATCCATAGTTCTATACATGCATTGATATACGAGAGAACACTTATTGTGTCTTTTGATAGGTAGTTTATATTCTGAGCCTCAGAGTTGAAGGGTACACCTACTTTGGCCAATACAGTACGTATCATTATTGTTATTGTTTGCTTTAGTTCCTAGAGGAACATAGGAATTCAGCCTCACGTCTCCGTTGAGTTCGGTTCTCTGCCAATGTTTCCACCTGGCTCCACGTCTCCCCACACGCTTTCATCTCCTCTTCATATCGCCTTCTCCTCCTCCATGTCACCGCACACTCGCACTGACGACCAACTAACTCACCGCTTCCCATTCGGGTTACACTCGAGCAATGGCCTGGCGTGTGATGGATGTCACTTGATGTTGTTTTGTTTTCTCAGAGTATGGCCAGCCAATCCACTTGAATTTCTTCCTGCATATTTGTTACACAATTTTTTCCTGCTGGGTTGATTCACTCCCAAAGATCCCTGTTGCTGATCTTTTCTGGTTGGTCATCTGATCTCGATCGAAGTACTGGGCGAAGACAGCTGTTGATGAAAGTGTGTAGTTTTTTCGAAGTGCCTTTCGTGACACGGCGCTGGCCAAGTCTCTTATCCGTATAATAGGTCAAAAAGTCCTCTGTTAAGCTGATCACATTTAACTCTATTCTATGTTAACCTCAGCAGTTCATTATTATAATTATTCTTTTGTTGAGTTCCTAGGGGAAAATAGGGCTTCAGTTGTGCATCTTCACATTCCACTCTGTTCGTTGTCTTCACTTAGAAATTACTCCATGACTATTGGGAGCATTTCATTTTCACTTCGCTTGGTCTCCTTCATATCCTCCTCAAGACCACACGTAACACACTCCTTCCCCATTCATTCTCCACTGGACAATCTCTTCAAAGTACTTCCAATCCATCCCATTTCTTCCTAGATATTTATTATTATTGTTTCCTTTAATTCCTAGAAGAACATAGGGCTTCAGTCAAACGTCTCCATTGCGTCCCGTTATCTGCTAAAGTTTCCACCTGGCGGCAAGTCTGCTCACATGCTTTCATCTCCTTTTCACATGACCTCCTCCAAGTCACCCTTGCACTGACAACCAACTCGCCGCTTCCCTTTCGAGTTCCACTCGAGCGATGGCTTGTCTAGTGATGTCACTTGATGGTTTACTCAGAGTATGGCCAATCCAATCCACCTCCATTTCTTCCCGCCTATTTGTTTCACAATCGGTTCCTGGTTTGTTTGCTCCCAGAGATCCCTATTGCTGGTTTTTTCTGGCCAGCCATCTGATCTTGATTATTCAGCGAAGAAAGCTGCTAATGAAGGTCTGTAGTTTGTTTGATGTGCTCTTAATGACGCGCCAGGTCTCTGATCCATATAGTAGCACTGACTTCACATTGGAGTTGAAAATCCGGATGTCGTTTTTCATGCTGAGTGCTGAGTGTTGATCTCCTCAACACAGACTTGAGAGTAATGAAAGCTTGCTTTGCTTTCCCGATCCTTGCACTTTGATATCCTCATCAGTTTCACCTGTAGTTGAAATGATGCTTCCCAGGTAGGTCCAAAGGAGGTTGCTTCTCTCAGATTTCTCCCATTTATGCTGGTTGTTGTCTGTTGTTGTTTCTGTTGTTGATCGTGTTGGCCAAGAACCTTCATCATCTCTGTTTTCTCTATGTTCACCTGAAGTGAAGTCTTATCTTTGATGCTTCTTCTGCTAACTTGTTGCTTTTCGCTTGCATATCTTCCACTTTGTGAGAAATCAGACATATATCATCGGCGAAGTCCAGATCCTCCAAGTTTTTTGTATAGGTTCATTTTATTCCTGTTTCCTCACTGCCCGCCACTGTCTGTCGCATTATCCAATCTACTGCAATCAGGAAAATCATTGGCGATAGTAGGCAGCCAGCTTGTCTTACTCCCGTCTTCACTTCCTCGAAGGATTCCATAAGTTTCCCGTTGTGGACTACTTGGCACGCAGCATTGTCGTACAACTGCTGGATGAGATGTACAATTGTCGGCGGATACTTATTAGTCAATAACTTGTTTGGAGGTTGGCCCCACTGCCAACTAATTCGTTGTTCCGTATGCTTTCTAGTAGGTCATCTTAATCCTCAGTTAGTTGGTAAAAGTCCAAAGTAGCCTTTTAGCAAGGCTTTTTATGTAACACGCATCTCTGAACAATTTCTAAACTATTCAATGTACAATTCCATAAATTGAGTTTAACGCTACCTTTAGGTCGTTCAATAAATAATTGCACGCATTAAAATACTGTTTAACAAATTTAAAATTCAAATTTAAACTTTGAAATAAATACATATAACGATTCAATAAACCTTTAATATACACATATATGTCAGGCAGTTTGTTTAAATGAATCAAATATATTGAAATTTGAACGACATTGTTGATTATAGTAAGCGGTAACTACTAGTAATTGATTGAATAATTCGATACCTTCTTTTTTCTAACAATAATATACTGTCAAAAGTGACAACGATCCCTCCGAAGATGATGTAGAAAGAAACTGAACATCTCTGCTTTTTTTCTTCTTTGAGTGATAGATTCAAAAGTATTCCATACACGAATTTAATTCTCAACTATGTACATGGCAGCTAGGCATACACACACACACTTATATGCAAACAAACAGACAAATACGCATCACTGTTTGAGTAGATGTGAGTCCTGTCACAATGCTTTGGGTAGATATCAGCCTATATCTATCGATATTCGAATGAAAATCTGCTTATAACTATCTATTAGAATAAACTGTGTTTTGAACAGAGAGAGAGAAGACCAGTAGTTCAGAGAAGAGTCTCTCTTTTCGGCGGAGAATTCATCTGCACACCTGTACAATCGCGAATATATATATTATTATTATATTATTATTGTTC